CCCACCTCCTTCGTCTCTCCTCCCACCTTTCATCTGTGTATGTGTGTACGGGGCCTGAGCATCGTCTATGCATGGCTCAGACTCCACCATCTCACGATTGTATGTGTGTGGAGTGATATCTGTGTGAGTAAGTCTATGTGAGTCAGTCCGTTTATCAGACTTCCGCTGCATACATGCTCTTCGTATATTGGTTGATCTTTGGTTCTGCCCCATACTCGTTGATGCATTCACGAGGCAGGCCGAACTCATGAGGGCCCGGAAATGGCCCTCTGTTTCAGGCTGAAAACACTCAGGGCCGGAAAGGCCCTGATTTAGCCTGAAACGACACAGGGCCTGTAGGCCCTTGTTTTCAGGCTTTTGGCCTGAAAACGTCACGGGCCTGGAAATGGCCCGTGCAGCCTATTGCAGGCACATTATGTAACATTCCCCCCTCCTTATGAAGTCAAGCCGGGGCGAGGGCGAAGCTGACGATCTGACGGTGGAACGTGGATGCGGGTGCGGAGTGGAGCCGAAGATACCGGCTTGCCTTGCATCCTGGGTTCGTAGCGTGTGAGAACATCCGGATCTGTTGCTTGGAGTTCCACACGGGTTAACCAACGGTCAGCTCGGTGACTGCAGTACGCAAAGTGTACCAAGTACTCGGCTGGCCTGTTGCAGTAGCGTCTCTCGAAGATGATGTTGCCGACCTCTTGAAAGTCGTCCATAGAGGGTGGGTCTTGCGATCGTCGTCCGGGAAAATCGTCATGTTCCGCTCGCGTGTAGAAAGCCAACTTGGAGCAATGAAACATCGGGTAGACGGGCAAGTGGGCGGGCACCTGAATGGTGAATGAAGGTCCTTCGGGTACATCCCCGGCGGGTGCCACGATCGGCCAAGGCCCCATCCATTTCGGGAGGAGCTTGCGAGAGATATCTTGTTCAAGGTTGAATTCCGCGGCGTAAGCCCAAACAAGATCGCCGACGCGGAATGGGCAAGGAAGATGTTGGCGATTGGCCTGTTGGCTCATGCGTTGCTGCGTCTTGGCCATTTGGTCGCGTGCCTTGACAAGTCGCTCTTGCATCCGTCGCAAGAAAAGAAGATGGTCGCCGCTCTCGTCCGTTCGTGGAATGATTGTGTCCAACGGAGAAGTGATCGGCGAGCCGTGCTCGAACTCGAAGCGCGACATCCCGATAGCTGGGTGGATGGACAAGTTGTATGCCAACTCGACATCCGGCAACCGCTCAACCCAATCCTTTTGGTTGGGATGGATGAGAGTTGGAAGGAGAACCTGTGCGGTCTGATGCGCCCTCTCCGTTTGGCCATCGGTTTGGGGGTGGCGAGCCGAACTTGGCTTGAGAGATGAGCCCCATCGTTTGATGAGCGCCAACCAAAACTCGGACATGAACCGAGTGTCGCGGTCGCAGACGATTTCCTTGGGGTAACGCTTGGTTCGAATCCAACCGGCGTAAAGAACCTCGGCCAACTCTGGTGCCTTGGCATGATAGCGGCAAGGCAAAAACATGGCAAACTTGGTGAGTCTGTCGACCACCGTGAGAATCCCATCCACTCCGGTCTTGTGCTTGGGGAAGGGGCCGCTAATGTCCATGGCAATCGCTTCCCTTCGAAGCAAGGGGACGAGTAACGGACGCAACTCGCCGTACGGACGATGATTGCGGGATTTGCAATGTCGGCAAACCTCGCATGACTCGCAATAGCGTGTGACGTCGTCGAGAAGACCGGGCCACCAAAAGCCTTCGAGGAGTCGGCCAATCGTACGATTGACTCCAAAGTGTCTAGTGGCGGGAGGGTCGTGGAACTCGCCAAGAAGCCGTGTGCGCAAGTGTAAATCTCGTGGCACACAAAGAAGATCCTTCCCTCGCGAGTGGACGAGGAAGTACCCCTCTTGGATCCGATAGTGCGATGGCACTGGATTAGGAGAGGAGCAATTTGCGTACTTGTCGCAAAACTCGGGGTCGACTTGGCAGCCGTAGATGAAGTTGTCCCGCAAGTCGTCGTTAATCTCAAAAGTTGAGTAGACTGCGGTACAATGGTCCAAACGCCGTGAAAGAGCATCCGCAAAACGGTTTCACTTGCCCGAAATGTGGTCAGGGAAAAAGTCAAATTGGTCGATGACGGCTATCCAACGGGCAATGGTGCTATTGATCGTGTGTTGGGTCTTGTAGAAGATCAATGGATTGTTATCCGTTACCCATCGGAACTGTCGTCGACCGAGAAGAAAATGCCGCCAGCGCTTGAGCGTGTGTACGAAGGCCAATAATTCCTTGTTCCGGGCGTCGTCAATCGAGTGCACAACGAGCACTTTCTTGCGAAAGTACTCGATCGGGTGCCAGTCCACACCGTCATGTTGCTTGAGGACGGCACCAATGCCATAGCTGGACGCATCGGTAGTGACACATGTCGGCAAAAGTGGATCATAGATGCGCAACACCTCCGCGGATAGCAATGCGGCTTTGAGAGCCAAAAAGAAAGTCCGCGCATAGTCGTCGAAGTCGAATGGCCGGTCCTTGCATTGAAGCTTGGATAAAGGAGCCGCGATCTTCGAGTATCCCTTGATGAAGCGTTGATAGAAGCCGGCTAAGCCAAGGAAGCAACGAACATTTATGACGGTCTTCGGCTCCGACCACTCTTGGATGGCTTGAATCTTGTCCGACAACGGACTGATGCCCTTCGGTGTGACAAAATGGCCCAAGTATTCCAGCTCTTGCTAGACAAATTCGCACTTGTCGTGGTTGGCTTTATACTTGGCGCGGCGGAGCGTCTCCAACACTCGTCGAAGGTGCTCAAGATGATCCTCCAATATTCGACTATAGACGAGGATGTCATCTAAGTAGACTAGTACGAACCGGTCCAGCATCGCACGAAACTCGTTGGTCATTGCCGCTTGAAAGGTCGCCAGGGCATTGGTGAGGCCAAAAGGCATAACGATCCACTCAAAATGCCCGTAGCGCGTCTTGAACGCGGATTTGTCGCAATCTTGCGGGCGTATCGAGATTTGATGGTAGCTTGACTTCAAGTCCAACTTTGAGAAGAATTTCTCGCCGCCCAAACGCTCGAAAGGTCGTCAATCCGCAGAAGAGGTCCCGCATTCTTGACGGTTTGTGCGTTGAGCTTGCGGTAGTCGATGCACAAGCGAAGATCCTTGTTCTTCTTCCGTACTCGTGGATATTTTGTTACCGATGGGACAAAAAAATAGTCGAAGTTCAGGGGGTAGTAGGGTACTCTATTAAATGTGACGATTTTATGCACCCCTCGGTAACCCTATTTAGTCTGTCAAGCACGAACCGTTCTCCACCTGCTTGTGGACTGCTGCAATTTTCAATGGATCGAGGTTGGAACTGGTGGCGCACCATATGGTGAGCTACTAGGGCGGATCCAGCCCTTGTCCAAAAGATTCTCGAGTTGAGCGCGGAGAACCACGAGCTATTCCTCGCTCATGCGATAGATGCATCCTTTCGGCTGCACGACACCAGGCTGAAGAATGATCTCGTGGGAGATCGGCCGATCCGGCACCACACCGGTAGGAGACTCGAACATGTCGGTGAACTCGCCGAGAAGCCGCACCACTCGGGGGTCCGAAGACAAGTCCGTAGGTGAAGATTCGGTCGTCGTGGCAGCTCGTAGAAAACATAGGCCTATCTCGTCGGTCCGCTCATAAGGGCACGTGGCCCGAAAAGACTTGGCCGTTACAACTTGGCACCGGATCGAGGAGTGCGGAAGAGGAATGGTACACGGCACCTCGGCGCCGAAGGCGTCGCGAACGGTAAGTGTCCGGTGATGAAAGTTAACCGTGTGATCCGCACTTGCAAGCCAAGGCATCCCCAAAATAATGTCGAAGTCCGTGTCTAAGACGTCAAACGTCACCGGTTTGCATGCATGAGGTGCGAAATAAACCGGCACGACTTCAATGTAGTAATCGAGGAGTTGTTGCATCCGATCGTCCGCCAACTTGATCGTCGTCGGGTTTGGCTTCCTTCGAACTTGAGTGCCAAGGCCGGCCTTTTGGATAAAGGACTGGCTGATGAAATTGCGAGTCGTGCCGCTATCCAGCAAAGCGCTGCAGGACGCTTGCCCAACTTGGATGCGGACATAAAGGAGCGGTGCGTTGTTATCATCGTACCGCTGCATGCGAAACTCGCGGGCCACCTTGGTAACATACGCAAGGATGTCCCCCACCGCAGCTTCGTCATCCGACGGCGAAGATGGTGGTGCATAGAAGGCTAAGTATGTGTGGAGATGGGCGCATAGTGTTGCGCATTGCAGTCCCGGCAAGCAGCCTGTGGAAGGGAGAGGAAGCCATGCAAAATCCTCGGACGTCAACGGGTCCAAGACCTCTATGTTGAACTCGTGCGTTGAATCGCTTGAAGAGCCACTTGAAGTTGATATATTGTTGTTGTTGTCGGACGGAGAAGAAGCCGAACACACATCTTGTCCTTGAGCTTGAGAACCCATCGAAGGGACGAGCCAGGCAGCATAGTCCTCATAAGAATACAAGAGAGGACTGTCGACTTCAGCATGTGCCTCAGAATGAAGAGAGGTCGCTCGCAAAGCAACCGCTTCCGAAGGCGTTGAGAGTGCAGCCGCATCACTCTCTGCGGTGCTCACTTTCCCGAAGGGAATTTGCCTTGGACTGGCGTGGGGCACGTTGCGGTGTCATGCACCGCGCTGTTGCACCATAAGCACTATCGGTACTTAGTACGGATGCGGTACACGCCTTCCGAGATACCGTGATGTGTCCAAGGCTCTTGAGCCGCTGGTCCGCCCCCGGGGGCTGAATTGGTGTGTGTCTTCGGTTTGCCACGTCCTCGCCCTCTGGCGGGGCGGCCACCATCCCGGGCGGCTGCCAATCTGTCTCCTTCCTCAAAAGAGGCAGCCTCGTTTGAAGGGTCCGTCGTTGTAGTTGCTGCGACCACGACCACTTTCGGTCGATGCTGTCTTCTGCCCTGGCCTGCAGCAGACGAATGGCCCAAATTCTTGGCTTCGATGTTCGTCACGATGATCTGTGAGGCTTTATCAAAAAGTTGCTCACTTGTGGTGAGCGTCTCTGCAACTTGTGTCAAGGCGTTCGGCAACGTCGGGCAGCTCCTCCTGATGAAGAAGTGCTTGATAGCGACAAATGTCGACGGCAAGTTGGGCGTGGATGCCAAGCGTTGGTACTCGGTGATCTAGTCCGTGCTTGGTAGGTCGTTCTGATAGAACCGTTGAAGTTTCTCGGCTGCCTGAAGCTCGGGTGGCTCCACTTGGAACCGCTTATGCCATGCTGTTGCACCGCAGAAGATCGGGAGGCCGTCAAACTTCGGGATGCTCTCGCGATTAGTCACAGTCGGACTGACTGCGGCGGCGCAAATCTGCTGGTCAATCCGCTGATTTGTCGTTAGAGCGCCGTCCTTGACAGTCCCGACGTCGATTTCCAAGACGTTGACGCGGTCCGTCAAGTTGGAGTGTCCGGCAGGGGTGGTTGTTGCAAGTTGCCGTTCCAGCCGGGGTACCCTGTCAAGCAGTTCGTCAATAATTTGAATCTGCGTCCGGACCAGGGTGTCCACGCAGAGGATGTCATCTTGCTGTGCTGCACAGGTGGCAACCAAGTCGCTCACATGTTCGATTGTGGTGGCAAGGCCACGCACAGCAGAGGGGGCACCCTCCTCTTCAGCAGCCACTGCCCATTCGCCGGCGATCACCTCGATATCCCCCTCACATTCGAGGAGTTTGTCTCGGCGTAGTCGATGGCGTTCGTTTGCGGTCTTCCTTGCTGCCTCAGCGTCCGCCTCTCGCTGCTGTTCAGCGAGGCGACGTTGTTCCTTCTTACGTGCGGATGTTGCCGCAGTTGCCTGTTGCTTGAATTCTGCTACCATGTTCAACATGCACCCCTCATAAGTCTCGGTAGTCTCGGCTGGCTGCTGCTCCATGCCGCTTATCTTTGAGCGGGTGAGCACCATGCACTGACGTGACCTGTTGTTGCGGTGACTGGTTGTTGACATGGCACTGCTGTCGTGGCCTGCTGACATGGCAACTCACCAATGCCGCCGCTGGGGGTACCTGGAGGCAGATAGGGAAGACCAGAAGGGGCAACAACATAGGTGGGGAGGGGTGGGATGGGATAAATCGCCCAGATAAGGAGCCATTAATCAAAAAAAGATTTGAGATTTGCAAAAAATTTGAGAGAAAAGAAAAAAAATACTCGTTTGCAAGTTCAGTAGGCCCCCCAATTCCCTTGAAGTGCGAAATTATCAATGAGAAAAAAATTTCGAACTTTCAGATCGCAAATGATTTTCTGATAAAAGAATTCTGAAAATGAAGTACAAAAAAAAATTCGGAATTACACAGATGAGAGTATGCGCAGTTGGAGAATGATCACTGCAAGAGGGATTCCCGTACCGTTCTAAAAAAAACGTATTTCAGAATAAAAATATTCCAGAAGAAAGATGCATACGAAATGGATTGGGTGACATGCATATAAAATTGATTGAGCTTGGGTGCAAGAAAGGTCGAATGAGGGAGACATGCATGTGAAATAGGCAGAACTAGAGAAAAGCCGGGCAGAATGACCGGGAAGAAGTACATGTGAATTTGACTGAGCATGGGATTGAGGAAAGGACGGCAGGAGGCGTGGGTCGCACGGGTCGAAGAACCGACTTAAAGAGACACTACGGGTGACAGAAGCCGGAAAAGGGACTTGGTTGGCACGGGATGGAAGGAGGATCAGCCAAAGGGCGTTTGGGATGACAAGGCTCGGGGGAGAAGCAGGGGCAGCAAGAGGAGGAAGTTGAGAAAAGGCTTGATATACTTCGGGTGATGAATGAGAAGAGGAAAGTCGAGAAAAGGCTTGATGAACTTCGGAGTCTTCGGGTGATGAATGAGAAAAGGAAAGCTGAGAAAAGACTTGATGTATTTTGGGTGATGAATGAGAGGAGGGAAGTTGGAAGAAAGTCTGATGTTCTAAGAGTGAGGAACGAAACGAAAGGGGTCTGATGATCTAAGAGTGATGAACGAGACGGAAAGGGGTCTGATGTTCTAAGAGTGATGAATGAGACGGAAAGGGGTCTGATGCTCTAAGAGTGATGAATGAGACGAAAAGAGGCTTGATGCTCTGAAGGTGATGAATGAGACAGGAGAAGCCTGAAGGACAAAGAAAGTTTGACCCTACACACCCCTCCCCGCTCCAAGGAGCGGAGACTAGAAGAAACCCGAGAAAGGAACAAGAAAAAATGAAATAGACCCTGGCAAACTAACCTCCCATGACATCCCGTCCTTCTCTCCCATCAATCACTTCAAACCTCTACTAACAGAAGATTGGTGCGCCATGAGGACATCGCGAATGAGTGGGGGGAATGTGTCGGGACGGGTGGGTCCCGAATAACATCCCATCACTCGAGAGTCTTTATATAGCCAAATTGTGCACGATAGAGAAATTTGGAGTAAGGAGGCAAGAGAGAAAAAAGACAAAGGACTAGGTCGGCGAAAGGAATGATGCCCTGGGATGAGAACCACAAGGGGAAAGAACCAGCGACGACAAGCAAGTAACCGCAAGGACATGGGCACATAGGGGCATAGCACGAGGCCAAGAGGGCCACCAGAATTCAGCTTGAATAAGGTCAAGGGGCCGTCAACTCACAAAATGCGGCTCGGTAAACGACGAAAGAACAGGGTAGTTGGGAGGTAGACGACACTGGTGACCATGGGGTGCTAGAAAATAAGGGCCCAACGTGGGGGCCGCCCATGGCAATTAGCGGGAGCCACGGATTGGAGGTCCGCGGCCGGAGAAACCGGCGCGCGCGAGGCCCGATAAAAACAAGGGAAAGGGGTCGCCGTGGGGCGATAGACGCCCAAAGAACGTGGGACACCTTGCGGAAAGGCACCAGGGGCCACGTGGAACTAAGTAAAAATAATGGTATCCGAAACAAAATATGTCGGGGACCACTGGCGGGACAAAGTGTCGGGGACCGCCGGCGGGACAAAGTATCGAGGATCACCGGCGGGACAAAGTGTCGGGATCACCGGCGGGACAAGTGGCGGGGACATGGGAAGGCCTCAAGAGAAAATAGCGAAACGGCACAAGGGGAAAACAATTAAAAGAAGATGCACCGTCAAAATCGGGATCTTGACGGTCAAAAATATTAGCACCACTAATGCAAGCACTAGTGGTAGCAAACGGGGAGCCCAAAAAGAAAAGAGAAAAGTAAAGAAACGTGGAGTGGGAGGCGTGGGAGCAATACGAAAAATATCGGACCAGCCTCCCTCAAAAAAATGAAGTCAAAAGAGACTCCATGTGAAAAATAGGCCTCCAGGAGAAAATCGGAGTTGGAGGGGCTACTGTGGGAGAAAAATAAAGGAAAAAGGAAGCTCTCATGGCCATGAGGGATCCATTATTGCAGTCCGAGATGTAACAGACTGCACCATGGGCATAGGAAGGACCAAAACTAAGAGGAACGACCTAGAAAAGGGCCTTAACGGCCACTTGACACTTGGCATGCTAGAAAAAGAAAGAAAAGAAAAAGAAAATGTGGGAGAATAAGACAAAAAAAGTGATAGGGAGTGAGTGAGTTGGCCGTCAGTAGGGACTGCCACAAGTAGGGACTGGCAGGTCCCTACTGTCCAAGAAATGAGGAAAAAGAAAAGAAAAGAAAAAAAAAGAAAAAAAAAAAAAACCTTAACGGTCAAAAACGACCACTTGGGGGGATGCATCAATGACCTGATACATTATGGAATATGGCGGTTGCAAAGGACCTTGAATTTCTCTTGATTTTGTAGAGAAAATCAAGAAAAATCAAGGCCCCATGCAACCGAAATACAACGGATTACATGGGGAGGAAGAAACACATGTTTTAGGTGCATCCGGAGCCAAAATTGAGTCTGGATGCACTTGGACGTTGGCAATTTCTTTTTCTTTCAACTGAGGGCTAGTTGTGGGGCATTAGGGTTAGGAAATTGACCCGTATTGCAGTTCGAGTTGCAACGGACTGCATGGGGAAGGGAAAACACACGTTTAGGTGCATCCTGAACCAATATTGAGTCCGGGCACACTTGGGAACTAAATGCTTCATTCTCTTTTAGTATGGGGCAAGTTGTGGGGTTGTGGGACTAGGGAAATGGCCATAATTGCAGTCCGAGAAATAACGGAGTACATAAGGATGCCGAGGCCAAGGGAAAAATGGGTCACGGCAAGCCTAAAAGGCTAGAAAGAAGTGATTTCGACATGGGTCAAGTAAAGACGGTAAGTGGCAACTGTGAGATGAGATCTCGCGGCCAAGAAATATCGGCACACATGTGGCACCTAAGGAAGGGATATTGGAACCACCAAGAGCAAGGAGATCCCATAATAAAAATGGGACACCATCAGGGATGTTGTCGGGGACTAAGTAAGCCCAAATAATAATAGTAAAAAAACGGGACACGCGTCGGCGGGACAAAAAAATAGAATTAGTACGGGAAAGTGGCGGGGGCTCGAGTTGTCCCAAGGTAACCATGAGCCAACATAAGGAATGGACAAGCAAGCAAGTGGCACCGTCGAGATCGAGGATCTAGACGGTGGAAAATATAAGCACCATCAGTGTAAGCACTAGTGGGGACAAGTGGGAGAGTCGTGAGAGAAAAGAAAGTGGAATAATGGTATTGGGAGGGCTGCCCAGCAGTCCGAGATATCCCGGACTAACTAGGCATGGGAAAATAAAGCCCCAAGGGGCTCAACATGGGAAAAAGGCCGTCCAAAGAAAATCGGAGCAAAGGAGGCTCAAAATTGGGACTAACGGAGGCAAAATGGAGCCCCCTACGAGTATGGGGGTGTCATTATTGTAATCCGAGATATAACGGTCAACTGTTGAGTCTGAGTCTGGCCATGGATGAGGATTTATGGCCTAGAAAAAGACTCAACAACTAATTGATACTTGTCACACCAAAAATAAAAGAAAAAGAAGAAAAAAAATGGGAGAAAATGGAGGGGCGATGAGACCAAAGGGGAGAAAAGAGTGGAGGAGAGTATGCCAAGTTCAAATTGACAGCAAGTAACATTAACTCGACCTATTGGCACCTGCACAGTAGGGACTGGCAGATCCCAACTGTGACCTCATCCCTCCTAGAATGGAGCTGGGCAATCCGGATTGCAGAGCCAAGGGCCATATTTCCACAAAATCTGAATTAAAAAGAGAAAAATAAAAGAAAATGCAAAGGGGAGATGACCGTTTTTTTTTGTGGGTCATAGATCTGAGATCAGATCTCATGGTGGAGAGGAACTAGCTGTTTTTTGTGGGCCAGCTCAAAACGGCTAGCTCCGGAATGAGGTGGCAGCCAAAAATGGAAAGAAACAAAAGAGGGAAAGAGACAAAAATGTGCATTTGGCCCAAAAAGAGAGCCAGATGCACCAAAAGTTAAAAAATTGAACTTAGGGGCCCAAATTTGAAGCAAGGGCTACTTGGGGGTAGCTCGAAATATTGTTGGCCTTGGATCTCATCCAGATCCAAGGCTGAAACTGCACCGAGGCATGGGAAAATACCTCTGCCTACCAAAAATAGGGTAGAAATTGAAAAAAATCGAGAAAAAGGCCCACTAGGCTTTTTTCTCTCAAGTAAGGTTGCCCCTTGGGCATTAGGATCCAAAGGGGACAACATTTTGAAATGGAAAAGAGGCTGAAGGAGGCCAAGAGGCAATCCGAGTTGGTACCAACCACTCGGACTGCATGTACTTGGCCAAAATAAGGCTCGGGTACCTCCGGAATGGTCTAGTGGTAGAATTTTGCCTTGGGGGTTCCTCGGTTCACCTCAAGGCACATGGAGAGGTCCATGGGCTGGCCGGACTGCTGGTTTCAGCCTACATAAGTTGGGGATTCAGTCCGCCACACTCACATTTGCATTAGGAGTGCCCATGCTGCCCAAGTGAGCTCATAGGAGCACTTTCTCACTTGGAGACAGGAGAGGGGAACCCCTACCAGTTCGAGAGCTTAGAGGAGACTGTGAGCTAGGAGAGAGAGCTCTAGAGGTTAGTGGGGGTAAGGCTGGCCTAGGG